ACAGCAGTCTTTTATTTATTATTTAATAACAAATAAAAAAAATGTTGCGACTGATGTTAAAATGGCTGTTCTGGGGGGTTTAAAGCATCCTGATTGCGAATTTGCGAAGACTAAAATTTCTCATCATCATCATCATCATCATTCCTCAATCTCTTGCATCTACTGTTGGATATAGGTCTCCTCCATGTTCTTCCACTGTTCTCTATCTTGCGCCTTCTGTATCCAATTTCCGACTGTTTTTCTCAAGTCGTCCATCCATCTTTTTGGTGGTCTGCCTCGGTGTCTTTGTCTTCTCACCAAATTTCTCACCAATTATATATTTTGAGTTATAGAATGCATCAAATAATGTTATTTATTATAAAAATTCTTATATACTATATATAAATAAGTCCAGAACTAGAAACAAAAACTATGGTAAGTCTTTTGTACACAAATTCTTTGCAAACGCTGATTTCCTTTTATACTCTGTATCACTTTCTCTCATGAGGAACCAACAGTAATCTCCCATCATTGCTGCATCCCATCTTCCCTGGTAGCGTTGCTCCATTGTGAGAATATCCTGGTGGAACCTTTCTCCTTGCTCGTCGCTGACCGCACCCAAATTTTCGGGAAAAAATTTAAATGGGAGTGCAGAAAGTGTATTTTTAGAGACATGCGACAGCCCATTTTGCAGTAATTTTTAAGTAGTTCTTCTACAACATTTTGGTAATTTTCTGCTTTTTTGTTTCCCAAAAACTCGAAAACAATTCTTTTGAAAGAAATCCACGCAGCTAACTCAACATCACTTAATTTTTCATCAAACTGTTGATCCCTCAGTATTTTTCTGATTTGTGGTCCAATAAATATCCCTTCTTTAAGCTTAGCTTAGGAAAATTTGTTTAAGGTATTTAAACACATCTCCTTCTTTATCTAATGCTTTAACGAAATTTTTAACCATCCCAGTTTAATATGTAACAAAGGTAACAAAACGTTTTTGGATCAACGAGAGATATATTCTTTACGTTAGCTTGACCTGGAATGTACTGATCTCTTGGTGACCATTCTTTAACTTGGTAATGGCTCTGTGTTGCTCTACTGTCCCAAAGACAAAGAAAATAGCCAAATTTTGTAAATCATCTCTGAACACCTAGTAATAATCCGATGACTTTCAAGTTACCACATATTTGCCACTTATATGCAGTAATCTGATACATACGATCATAGCTTACTGCATTTAGGATCAGCGACATACTTTTGTTGCCGTTATGGAGCAGAACTGCTTTTAGACTTGATTTAGAAGAATCTATAAACAAACGCCATTCTTCTGGGTTATGTGTAAATCCTAATTTTTCCATAACACTATTTGGATTAACACAAACACACATTTTATCCTGCATAGTAAAAAACGAGGATAGCTCCTGGTTACGGTTCCTAAATATTGTAACTTTGGTTCCACTGGCTAGTAAATTCCATTGTTGTAATCGAGAACCTAAAAGTTCAGCATGTTCTTTGGACAAGTGAAGGTCTCGAACTAAATCATTTAATTCAGTTTGTTGGATGAAATGGGGTGCTTTATCATCGCTTTCGGGAAAATAAGAATCGTCCGTTTCTGATACATCATCGGGTTCACTTTTATCGTCATACATTTCCAAATCTTCCTCCAATTTGCCGGGGTCCTGGAACTGGTAAATCTTCTCCATGAACAACCGGTTTTATTGCTGAGGGAATATCTGGATATTCAATTTTATGCTTGTTCTTCCTTGAAAACCCAGACACTTTTGCCATGCAGAAGTAACAGTCGTTAAAATGATTTGTTGGTTCGCGCCAAATCATCGGAACTGCAAACGGCATAGAAAAGCGTTTACCATTTAACCAATTACTTAGATTTGCTGCACAGGTTTGGCAGCATATGTGAGGAGCCCAGTCCCGATCTTGATCGCCAATAACACATCCAAAATACTTATGGTAAGCTACTTTTGTCATCTTATTAATTGTCCTTTTCTGCGATTTAGGAGTAAACTGACCATATACGTAGCAAAAACTATCGAAGGGTTAACACAACAACGTTTCTGGACTTTGGACATTTTTGTACTATCCCACACACTTAATTCGAAGATGTTCTTTACTAGCGTCAACTAACTTTATTCCATACACTTTCGCTTTTCGATGTAATACCACTATCCGTGGTAAACCAACACTGAGGGTGTGATTACCAAAGATTTGGGGAGCGTATACCATCGGCCATCTAAAAATAGATGCGGAGAGAACAAAGAAATTTAGTGTTGCCAAATTATGCACAATTTTTAGGAAAGACGTTAATTTGATAACATTTCGCTTCGATATATTACAAATTACTTTAAATTGTGTTTTAAATACTTAAAAATAATAATTCTTTTTTTTTGTTGCAGTCGCAAATTGGTTGTAAACTAATGTAATTTTAGGCACACACTAGCAGCAAAATATCTTTCCTAATATAAAACTTATTTGGATTTTTACAAAATGAAATTAGGTATTTATGCTCCGTTTTTATATTCCAAACTTTTGTGTTTTAGTAGGCGGCTTTTTAAAGTTCTAAATGTTTGTACTATATAAGCTTTAAACAACTACTATATGTTTTATTTTTAAACGAATCTTTTCGCAGTTGTGTAATTTCAGCCAGCAAATAAAAAACAAAATATCCACGCTGTTCTTGATATAATTCACTTAACAACAAAGATGCTTTATCTCCAGCTTAATTTAGAAATACTTAAGGCTAATTACAAAATTAGTTCATTAACATATTCGTAACAATTTTCCAGTTATTCCATTGCGCAAAATTAACCGAATATGTATGTGAGAACCGCTTTAACCTAATCTACAAGAAAAACAATCGAAACGTATTTCATAACGATATATGCAACCGTCACTGTACGTAAAATAGTACTGAAATAAAATATTACTGAATAAAAAAAATGCAAGAATTGTTGTAATGACGTGACATTAATTATTAGAATATACATATAATATATCAATATCTATAGGGTAATGGAACTAATGTTAAACACTTTAAGAACCATAAATTTTCTTTTTCTACTGGTAATTAGTAATAATAAAGTATTTTTTTTATTGGTACCCCATTTTGCTTATTTAAAGTACGTCTCAGCGTATTTAAATTCAACTTTCAAAAACGCGCGTGTTTTAAAGTTACCGTGGCAACATCAACAGTTTTAAATATTGATTTGACCTGACAGAAGTAGATACCTTATAACATCAAATAAATAAAATATGAATAAAATATTACTAACAAATGATTTAAAAGCTTTATTCAAATATTTGAAAATCTTAATCTTTTAAATGAGTGTGAAAAGTAGGGGAACCGGGGTGGAACGGGGTGCATCTAAACATTCCGTATATGTATTTGGCATCTAGGACTTTTCTATTGGTTCTTTGCGGCAATGTTAATATACGGAATGTTAAAAATATTCGTAAACCAAAACAGACGACTTTTTATTAAAATCAGTTAAAATAAGACTGATTCTAAAATATTTGTTAATATATGATTAAGGAAAACTAAAAGAATGCAATAGGAAATAAAACAAAATATATTTAAATAAATTTAAAAAAATTCAAATTTAAATGTAATTTACGTAATTCAACCCTTCGCATGTTTAGTTCAATTGTTGATGCTGCATATTGGACGAAAGATTGTGACGCCTTTTTAATCTTTTTTTAAAGGTTCATCTTTAGGTGAACTTCCAAATGGTAATCTTTCTGACTCTCTAGTAACTCCCAACTTTCTTCGGCTGATTGAAATAGGTTCCACTCTTATATTGGCCTTGTGTCCAAATCGCCTTGCCAAGGAACTTCCTGCCGTGTTTAAAAAACTTTCCCAAGTCGTTTTTGTTTTAATATGGGATAATCTTTCGTACAGTAATTTTAAAGTTAATGAATCAGCTCCAAATGTAACATTTTTATCTTGTAGCGTATTAATAAAATCTGTAAACGAAAATTGAACTTTTTCCACAAAAGCTAATTTAGCTACGTCGTATCGATCTTCAGGAGTAGTAGCTGAAACGTTGCAAAAAGATATATTAAAAAAGTGTGAAATCGCAGCTTGATGCTTGCAAAAAGCACCCAATCTTCCAATTTCGCAACTGGAAAATCCTGTTGCTATATCGACTTCGTAAAGCACACTATTATTTTGCTCACTAGGAACTTTATATAAATTTTTAGATAATTTACTTATATATTTCTGTTGTAAATATTTATTTTTTTCTAATTGCTTTTAAAGAGTAATCTTGAAGCTGCATCTCTACTAGTTGCAAAATTTCGAAGCCGTCTTCTATAATATCCTTCTAAGGCAGTACAGCTAAAGTCTATTAAAGCTATAACATTATAAGCTTTGTTTCTATGTAGAACTATGTCTTTAAAAAGCCTTACTGTTATTTCACTGAAATTGTTGGTTTGGTGGCCATGTGTTGATGCGTCCCTATAAGCGAGGCATCAATCTTCCTTTCTTTTCCAATAGTCAGTAATATATTTCTTTCACTGCGGAAATCGTTGGTTTTCAAGAATAATCTTAAATGACTCTGTGGCTTGAAATGTTTTGAATAAAAGTGGTCGTACGTCTTGGTTCATTCCATTTCTTTTTTTTTTTTCACACAACCAGCGCCAAATTGATTGGTATATATGAAAACGGCATAAAAGTGTTTGTGATGCTGGCCAAACACGTTTTAAGGCTTTTCTTTCTGCGTCACTATCATCTATAATAAATATTTTAGGATAATCCACTCCACCGAAGGCATTTGGTATTGAACCTTTAAGCAGTTGGTATGCTGCAGCATAATCTTCAGTTGTTTGACCTTTGGTAATAATAACTGCCAAAGGCACTGCTCCTATTCCACAAGGGATTAACATAAACGAAACTGAATGGTTTAATGCATCGCAAGAAGCTGTGATATCTGTGTGCTCGTTGCATAATAGGTGTTACAACAATGACGGCAAACGGGTATTCATTATATTTTACTAAAATTTCTTCTACCTCATAAACCTTGTTTCATTTTCTAAAAAAAAACGAAAAGTTCAGTAATTTAAGAGGCTTTTACCGAGACTCTCTTTACCTCCAAAACTCCAGTTCCATCTCGAGGTCCCAAATTTTCAGTTCTCCATATATTATGCCAATGCTGCACTGTAGGATATTTTGGATTAATTTCTGAATTTGCTAAAAGTTTATTATCAAAGCCAATTTCAAATTCTAATTTGGACTCATGATAAACTAGAGACTCTTTAATTCCCATTACATTATCAAAATAAGAAAAATATTTTTCTTTTGTATCAGTGGATGGACGAAGGTATGAAAGGCTTTTAGCTGATTCCAAATTATGATTATGCTCGCCAATTATACTTATACCTGGCAAACCTCCTAAAAAAAAACGTGTTCTGATTATTTCCCATTATGTATGGAATATAGTAAATATCTCGGTAAATAACGACTTTATACAAAAAAAATATATAAAAATGATTTAACAGTTGTTTTTATTACATAAAACAAATAAGTAACGAAAAACAATTGACTTGTTTTAAATAGCAATGTACCCTTTAATTGGACTTATTTGATACAGTTTTTTCTCTTTTCAATGACGTAACATGTTAGTATCCTTCTACAAAAAAATGTAAAAACATTCAGTCTTGATTAAAAGTAATATTTTTATTTTGGCCATGCAATTTGAATTTTTCGACTTCCCTTTTTTATTGGTGTTTAAAGGGACTCTTTGATAGCCTGAGTGATGACAAACAAAAGTTTTACTAAAAAAATATAATTTATTAGAGCATGCAATTAAATAAGAGAATATATTTTTATTTCATTAAAAAATATTTTATAAGAGCTTCCCTGCATAAATAGTTATGAGTATTTTTTTTCGTTTTTGTAGCTATCCAGCTTGAAAAATAAATACTTCTTATATTCATTTAGCCTATTATATTTATATATATATCTTCTTATTTCTAATGTCTACTCTGAATTTATTTTCATTAATAAGACTGTATTTCAAACTTTTTGGCAAATCCATTATGTAAATAAACAAAGATCTAAACAGCACGTGCAGGTCTTTAAAACATTCATACAAATGTACAAAAAGTACTAAAAGTAAGAAAATAATGTCTCGCTAATGTATACCATTCCGTATATGAATTTCGCACCAGAGTAACATTCCGTAACGTGCTGGCACTCATCGCTATTGTTGAACATCTCGCTGCGCGAAGGACCATACATAGTCCAGATGCCAAATACATGCGAATGTTAGATGCGAACGGGTACCTAAGTTTGATAGTAATTTGTGCGATATTTAATGAAACTACACCATCATTTGACAAATCTTATGTTTATTTATTTATTTCTTTACAAGGAAAATATAGCTAAAGTTATAAAAAACAAACGTTTCTGAGAAAAATGTGCATTACAAAAATAAAGGGAAATTTCCCATTCTGCCCCACCCCCGGGGCACAATGGGGTGCCCATACTATAGCTAATATCATTGGCAAAGTTCACAGACGAGAACGCTTTCATCATCGTCACTATCTAAACCAGCACATGCTAGATGTGCCATTTCTTACAAATGCTACAAGAACACCAGCCTTCATTGGACTTAGAGTAGTAATCATGGCAATACAAGCAGGCCGTATCTTCTTCTTCTGCGCTATCTTCGGATTCAGTTTCAGATATTTTTTGTTTCTTTGCCTTAGTTTTAACCTGTTTTTTCTTATTTTCTTTCCTTTTTCGTTGAGTTTCAATTTCTCTGGGTTTGTTTTCATCATTTTTAAACATTAATCTCTGTTTAATTTTTTTCTCTTTAGCTTCCTTTATAGCTTGCATCTTTTTTAAAGATTCTTCCAGTTCAACCTTATAAGGTGAGGCGGTAAGGACAGCAGTCTTTCCACGCTTTTTTACAGCTCTTTTTGTTCCGGCTTTAACTTTTGGCAACGGAATTAGGTCTCTTGGCGACGTGACTGAAAAATGTGTGTCGGCATTAGTACGAACAGGGGAATCGGGCATCCAAGAACATCCGGGTTTAGGGACATTCACTGGTGGGGAAGATTTTCGTCAATTGTCGGTACGGATGGATTATTTTTGACAGGATTATCAACTACGGGTGTGGGATGAACATGGGGTGAGGAGAAATGCTTCTGTACTGGTGTAGTTGGCGTTGAGTCAGTTGTCTCTGGCATAGCCGGCGATGTTTCCTGGATTGTACTGCCAACAAGATTTTCCAAGGAAATATCTGTTGTTGCTGATAATAAAAAGTCATCATCGGTGAATTTATTTATATTGGATGGCCAGATACCAGATTTTTCAAAGCCATTAATGGCAATTCTCATATTTGCTGCACTTAAGAAAGCCTGGCCAAAAAGTGTTGATATGTCGAAATGCTAAACCACTCTCCGTGGATGCGACATGAGCCACTTCCTTATTTTATCCTTATAATACAAGCTCAATGGCTTCATGAATGCAACGTGCAATGGTTGAATTTTTTGAGTGCAATGAGGAGGGAAGCACAATATTAACACACCATTGTCACGTACTAGATCTATTGCGGTAAAGTTTTTTGTGTGTGACGTATGTCCGTCAAGAAGTAACATAACTGGGTGTTCTTTCGTCGATTTAGAAAACAGAATGAACTGTTGTAGGCATTTTACGAAAATCTCTGCAGTTATCCAAACAGAGTCGCCAACTTCAGCCCAGCCTCCGAGTGGGAGACCTGTTTCAAATTCACGTTGTTTCTTTTTTCGCAGAAATATTAACATTGGGGGCATGTAACATCTGGCAGCTGGGCAACATATTTCGGCAGGGACAGTGGTGCCTCTTTCAGCAGAACTTAAGACACCTACTTGACGTTGTCCTTAAACAGCTATTATTTTCGAAAACTGTAGCCATAGCCTGTGCTTCAGAAGTTGCTTCGGATTTTCTTAAGCTTAAATCAGGGTGACGTTTGAAAAAACCTTTACACCAGTCTTCTCCTGCTATTTCCGATGTTCTGTTGAAGTTATGCTTGCAGTTATTCTTTTCTGCTAGCTGGTATGCTAGTCGGCGAAACTCTTTCATAGTCATGCCGAACAGTTGTTTTTGCATATCTTTCAGATAAACGACAAGCTCAAGCTCTTGCTCAATAGTGAAAACAGTTTTATACTTTCCTGACGTTTTATCAATGACAGCGTCTGGATTCTCCCGTCTTTTCTGAACATATCGCTCCAGCGTTGATGATGGGACACCAAACCGATTAGACGCAGCCACATATCCCATTTGTCCACTGATAACCGCATCTACAGCTTGCTTCATAACATCAGTAGACCACGACTGCCGGGTGGTTTTCTTTTTGTAGTTACGTACCATCTGCGATCAATAAAAAATATAATCAATACGAGAATTTCAAACGAGAAAATACGAGAAGAAAAATATTTATCAATACTAAATATAATCGGGGGCGGAATGGGTATACCCACCCATTGTGCCCCAGACAACCGTTCCCAGAAACATTAGTGTTATAATAGGTTATGTTTATTGGACGCGAGTCATTACTACAGTTTTAGAGAGCTAAAAGTATATTGAAACAAACATGTAAGGTTAATTTCGAAAAAAAGAATAGTAAACAGTATAATTACCTTAGCGACACAACGAAAAAATTAGAATTTACAGGTTTCTTCTTTGATCTCCGATAAAACACCAACCATGCGTACTCCCAGACTGACAACGACTACTTCATACGACTCGACGTGACGAACTAAGCGTTTTGTGTGATATTCGCGCGTCTATGTCGTTTGTAGGGAATATCAGAGAACTAAGAACACATATATTCCAGCTGCTTTACCGCTTTTCATTTTTGTAATTGTTGATTCTACTTCTTTCGAAAGGACTTCTGGTACATCTTCTTGGTTACTGATTACTTCTTCAAGTGTGACAGGGGCTTTGTATAGTTTTCTTTAGAATTTTGTCATAAGTTGTATTATTTCATTTCTGTCTGTAATTCTGATGTTCTCGTTTGTTAGAGCAACGATTTGATTCTTCCCAATGTATAATGCTTTGCTTGTTTTCTTATAGTTTTTCCTGTTTTAATTGCATTTCTACCAGTCTTTCATTGTAAGTAACTAACTGAATTTAAATAACAAATATATTTAACTAGTCCCCTTCTGCTTCTGAACTCTCACATGTATCACAAATATCCACGGTAATTTTACAATTTTCACAGGCAAACTAATCTTCATCTTCGGAGTCTAAAGCAAGTCCTAAACTGTCAATGTACTTGGAAGAGACACACATTTTATGTACATTTACCAACAGTATACACTGTCGAACACTTAATTGTAAATAAAAAAGTGGAACATGCCACTTTGCTTCGGATTTTCTTAAGCTTAAATCAGGGTGACGCTTGAAAAAAACCTTTCTTTCTTCTTCATGTACCATGTCCTTTCAGAACGTTGGTTACCATCATAGCTATTTTAATTTTATTCACTGCCACCCTAAATAGCATGCTTGCTACCTTTACACCAGTCTTCTCCTGTTATTTCCGATGTTCTGTTGAAGTTATGCTTGCAGTTATTCTTTCTGCTAGCTGGTAGGCTAGTCGGCGAAACTCTTTCATAGTCATGCCGAACAGTTGTTTTTGCATATCTTTCAGATAAACGACAAGCTCAAGTCCTTGCTCAATAGTGAAAACAGTTTTATACTTTCCTGACGTTTTATCAATAACAGCGTCTGGATTCTCCCATCTTTTCTGAACATATCGCTCTAGCGTTGATGATGCTACACCAAACCGATTAGACGCAGCCACATATCCCATTTGTCCACTGATAACCGCTTCTACAGCTTGCTTCATAACATAGGTAGACCACGACTGCCGGGTCCGGGGTCCGGGGACTTCTGGTACATCTTCTTGGTTACTGATTACTTCTTCAAGTGTGACAGGGGCTTATATATATATATATATATAATATATATATATATATATATATATATATATATATAATATAAGAAATACTGGATATTATTGACTGTCGATATAAACAAATAAAACAGTTTATTAGGGTTGCAGTCAGAATATTGGCCGGGATGTTAAAAAAAACACTCTTTTGACTTTTTTGTCGAGCTTTCGGAATGGTTTTATTCCTTTTTCAAGACACTGCAATAAGACAAAAATGTAATATATATAGTATATATATATATATACATATATATATATATATATATATATATATATATATATATATATATATTTAATAGTTTGCTGTAAAATTTAGTCATGAGTTGTTATTATTTCATTTCTGTCTGTAATTCTGATGTTCTCGTTTGTTAGAGCAACGATTTGATTCTTCCCAATGTATAATGCTTTGCTTGTTTTCTTATAGTTTTTTCCTGTTTTAATTGCATTTTCTACCAGTCTTTCATTGTAAGTAACTAACTGAATTTAAATAACAAATATATTTAACTAGTCCCCTTCTCCTTCTGAACTCTCACATGTATCACAAGTATCCACGGTAAGTTTACAATTTTCACAGGCAAACTTATCTTCATCTTCGGAGTCTAAAGCAAGTCCTAAACTGTCAATGTACTTGGAAGAGACACACATTTTATGTACCTTTTCCAACAGTATACACTGTCGAACACTTAATTGTAAATAAGAAAGTGGGAATATGCCATAACACTTTAAAAAAGAAGAGTATGCAGATACGCATTTCATCTACAGATTTCGTAATGACAAGGCAAGAAGCACGTGTATATTGACATCAATTTCCGAATAGGTACATTCCGCATTACAGAACATTTATGGAAGTAAACCAACAATTTCGAGTATACGGATTACGTGATTATCTATTGGACATCGAAGTGAACTTACCTGTAGAAGATGATACTACATAAAGTTAACAAACAAATTAAAATACCAGTAACAACGGTTTTTAAGAATGGAAGAATGTTAAAGTATCAAGGTTTTAATTTATCGTAGTGTCTTCATCAAAGAAAAGAATTACTTATATGGACCATTATTATTAACTTCTTTATTTTGCATGAGTATTTCGAAAGCCAGATCAAGAAATTTTTAGATTTGTCACTACTATTATATTTTTTATTATTCAGGATTTTTCTTGACTGGATTTTTTTAATATAGGTGCCACGCAAAACCGAATACAGAATATGCTTCATTTAGTTAAAAAAAACTTTGGCTTCTTTTTAACGTTTTATTTCATAATGAACTTTGTTTTTGAAGTGACAAGATGAGAAATAAAGTAATCTATATTAACTTAGCCAGGCCAACACATTCCGGCGACATAATACTGTTCTTCCTTTGCCAAAAATTTGGTTCTTCCGAAGCTTCTAATGTTTCTTGCTTTTTCGGATTGTCTTCGCCCAGAATCTCTTGTACACGGAGGAATTCTTCTTTCTTCCTGAGCATCCCGTGCCTTTCTCAGTACCTCCTGTTTTTAAGGCCTCTCTAAATTATAGAGCGCCTGGCCTGTATGTTGCCTGATAAACAATACATCTTTGTCCTTTCTGGTACGTTTTGGCCTCGTGTCCTGTGTCTCAGCACTGTAGTACATTCCCGTTCTGTAGGGACCCGTGCACTCTCTTATGTCATGGCTATAAGGTATAATTTACCATTTACCTACACTTACTCGCCTTTCTACATGGCAATGCACCATTCGCAAGCGCAAGTACCTCTCTTAATCAGTTATTCAGCCACCCTTGCAGGCAACGCTAAATTCGTGAGAACCTTCACTGGTTTCATTTTTCCCACTTTGTAGGAGAACTTCATTTTCTAACTTGTTGACCAAAGTCCTGCTTGACTTCTTCAGAGCTAGCGTCGCTTGACATACCCCTTACGTATATTATGGTCGGTTAATTATTATAGGCCTATTTCATTGATCCCTAGAGCAATCTTTATTTTTTTCTTCTCAGTGTCAGTTCTTCAAGACATCATTTAATAACTGACTTAACAGTTTTTGTAGATTTTGTGTTTCTAAGATCACGCGTTTCTTAGATCATCCTGTATAATTCACATACGCTCA